TTCAGTCAAAATTTCCATTAAATGTGAAATGGGAATTATTAGACAGGTTGAAATACGTGGGCTGCATGCATTTTTGATGTGATTAACTAAATATGTCATCAATTACCCTCTACGCAGAAAAATCTTGAATGCTGATAGTTTTGTCACAAGTGAATTCCATAAATTCAAAACTACACAAAAATGTTTCTCTTGCTTTCTTCTAAGTCTCTTGCATTTTAACCTTGGTCCAACTACCTAGGTTCCGCAATGTTAAAAGTAGTTTGGTTTCGTCAATCCTATCTACATTTTCACCGTTTTTAAATATTTTGATTATGTTATTTCCCATAATCTATTTGAAGATAACAAGAATTGTTATTCCAGAATGGAGGCAGGATCAACACAGTGTGGAGCTGGAGGAACACCGCAGGCCATGCAGCATCAGAGGAGCAGGAAAGTCAATGTTTCGGGCCTAAGCCAGGGATTGTGGGTTTGTGTCCCGTCTGGGGTGCCAGTTCTGAAGAAGGGTCCCGACCCGAAACATCGACTTTCCTGCTGCTCTGATGCTGCCTGGCCTGCTGTGTTCCTCCAGCTCCACACTGTGGATTCCCATAATCTCTGTCGTTCTTGTGAAACCAAACATTTGAAGTCTTTTTGTAAATCCTCATGCCAGACAGCATTTTGCTTCATCGTGCTCTTTCTGAAGCCTGTGTGGAGCCTGATTACTTTAACTGAAATTGCCCTAGTTTTATATTGCTTCATCGTACCTGTTTCTATTTCATACATTCTTAAGGCTAAAAACCTGGGATGTGAAAGTTGTTTTTTATCGCCTTAACCTACAATGTAGCCCTTTTAATATCTGAGAATTTTAATGGCCTTCATACCACAAAGTGCTCTTCAAAGTATGATAATAGTAGGAACTGCCGATGCTGGAGAATCTGAGATAACAAGGGATAGAGCTGGATGAACACAGCAGGCCAAGCAGCAGCAAAGGAGCAGGAAAGCTGATGTTTCGGGTCTGGACCCTTCTTCAGAAT